TACCAATTCAGTTTGGTAGTTCTGTATGGGGGTTCTCTTAGTTTCCTCTTTCTTTATCGTGTGTGACTCTGTTCTGATTATTTGGTTAGTGGTTATCGTGAGGTTTGCATAAAAAAGTCTCGTGGATGTGATAGTCCATTTTTTGATGGCCTCTTATTCCCTTAGAATAAGTCGATTTGATCCCTTTCCTCTTCCCCTTCTAAGTTATTGTTGTCACATCTTATTCCTTCTTGTGTTGTGGGTTTGTGTTTAACGTGATGAGGTTATATTTATTTTTGGTGCTTACCTTCCCTTGATATTTGGTTTTACAATTAAGTGTTTGCTAATCTATTCTGATAGAGAGCTGCAATTTTCTGGTTTTGTCAACCTATTTTCCTCCTTGTTCAAAACTATGAATCCCCTTTCTCTTTTTTTTCTCAGGCATGAGGGCCTTCTTGAGCACTTCTTATAGTGGGGGTCTTGTGGCAATGAAATCCTTTAGCTTTTGTCTATCTGAGATAGTTATTATTTCTCCATCATATTTGAAGGATAGTTTCGCTGGATAGAGTATTCTTGGCTGAAAGTTTTTGTCCTTCAGAATTTTGAATATATTGTTCCACTCTCTCCTAGCCTGTAATGTTTCTGTTGAGAAATTGGCTGAGAGCTTGATAGGAATTCCTTTGTACATTTTTTTTTTTTTTTGTCTAGCCGCCCTTAATATTTTTTCTTCGTTGTTGACTTGTCAGCTTTACTACCATATGCCTTGGAAAGGGTCTTTTCATGTTGATATATTTAGGAGATCTATCGATTTCTTTCACTGGTATTTCCAGCTTCTTCCCCAGGTTTGGGAAGTTCTCAGCTATTATTTCTTTGAACAAGTTCTCTGGTCCTTTTTCCCTCTATTCTCCCTCTGGAATACCTATAATCCTTAGGTTGGATTTCCTAATTGAGTCAGATATTTCTCAGCGGGTTTCTTCATTTCTTTTTAGTCTTAGTTCTCTTTCCTCCTCCATCCAGAGCATTTCTGCATTGCTATCCTCAATATTGCTAATTCTTTCCTCCATATTGTCAGCCCTGATGCTTCAGGCTTCCAGATTTGTCTTTATCTCCTCTATTGTGTTTTTCATCTCTAAGATTTCTGATTGGTTTCTCTTTATAGTTTCAATTTCTTTTGTGAAGAAACTCCTGATTTCATTGAATTGTCTATCTGTGTTTTCTTGTATTTCATTGAGCATTTTATGATGGCTATTTTGAATTCTCTGTCATTAAGTTTATACATTTCTGTGCTTTCAGAGTTGATTTCTAGGTGCTTATCATTTTCCTTTTGATCTGGAGATTTAATATATTTTGCATAGTGCTTAACAGTGTTGGCTTATTTTTCCTCATAGTGAAAATATACGGTCACAGTTTCCTCTTGCCGCCGCTAGGTGGGCGTCAAGGGCTGTGTATTCTAGACCGCCTTGATCCACCGGTGCTCTAGTTGGCCTCTGGCTGAGCTGAGGCATGGCTGAGCTGAAATACAGCTGATTTGAAGCACAGCTGAGCGGAGGCTGCTGGGGGTGAAGCGTGGGAACAGCTGGAGCATGGGAACAGCTGGGACTGGAGCGCAGCTAGGTTGAAGCAGCTGGGGCTTGGGGGCAGGTGGGTTGAAGCAGCTGCAGCTGAAGTGTGGCTGGGCTGAAGAAGCAGGAGCTGGAACGCCAGTGGGCCGAAGAAGCTGGAACTGGAGTGTGGCTGGGCCAAAGTTGCTGGTGCCAAGTCAGCTAGAGCCCAAGCATAGCCAAGCCGAAGCAGCTGGAGCTAGGGGTGCGGTCAAGCCGAAGGAGCTGGGAGTGGGCGCAGTTGAGCCAACGCAGCTGTGGCTAGGGCACAGTCGAACCAAAGGAGCTGGGGCTGTGGTGTGGTGGAGCTGGAGCAGCTGAGGCCATGGCGCTGTCCAGCCAGAGCAGCTGGGGCTGTGGCACAGTGGGGCCTAAGCTGCCACTTCCTCTGGTGCAGGGGAATGGGCACACGCTGCCACTGGTGAGGCCAGGGTGCTATGGGGTTGTTGCCACTGGGGCCTGGGCACTGGTGTGCCACCACTGCTGATGCCCGGGTACTGGGGGGCTGCTGCCTCTGGGGCTTGGCTGTGGGCACACTGCTGCCACTGGTGGGGCCTGGGTGCTGGGGGGGGTCACTGCTGCTGGTGCCCAGGCACTGGGAGGCCACCGCTTCTGGGGCCTGGGTGCAGGCATGCTGTTGCCACCACTGGTGCCTGGGCACCTAGGGGCTGTTGCCTCTGGAGGTGGGGCATGGGCACACCACCACTGCTGGTAGGGCTGGGGTGCTGGAAGGTCACCGCCACTGGTGTCTGGGTACAGGGGTGCTATCACCTCTGGGGCCTGGGTTTGGGCACGCTGCTGCCGCCACTGGTGCCCAGGTACCTGGGGGCCACTGCCTCTGGTGCCGGGGTGAGGGGACATTGCTGCCACTGGTGTGGCCTGGGCACCTGGGGGGGCACTGCCTCTGGGTGTGGGGCATGGTCATGCTGCTGCTGCTGGTGGAGCCTGGGCACCTGGGTGCCGCTGCCTCTGGGGGTGGGACACAGTCATGCTGCCACCACTGGTGGTGCCTGGGCGCCTGGGGCCTGCTGCCTCTAGGGGCAGGGAGCCATCACACCCCCACTGCTGGTGGGACCCCAGCGCTGCGGGGTCACCACCACTGGTGCCTGGGCGCCTAGGGGCTGCTGCCTCTGGGGCCAGGGTGTGAGCGCACCGCCACCATGGGTGCTGAGGTTACGGGGAGCCACCGTCTCTGGGACCAGGGCTGAGCTGTAGCGCCACTGTGCCAAGGCTGCAGGGCCGCTGTGCTGAAGCCCCAGGTGGGCGGGTGGGTGGGGGAGGGGCACTTACTTTCCCCTCCCCCATCTCAGAGGTTTCTCGCCTTGCTGTCGCTCTCGGCTCTCCTGAGGGGCTAGCTTGTCAAAAGTACGCTCCCTCCATGTGGGGATTCCCCAGAGGCTGTGAGGGGTCTTGGAGAGCGCCAGTTTTCCTGCGGACAGTTGCCCCGCCCCCCTCTCTCTGAGAGCCGCGTGGTCTCAGTTTCACGGTTGCAGTCCTTGAGGAAGGAAGGGATCTCCTCTTACCTCCTTCCACTTACTCTGGGGATTCCAGTACCTCAGTCCTCGGGTTTACGGATGCCTGGGTGCCTCAGATGTCCCGTGTTGTGTGAATAGCTTCTGTTGGAATATGAAGGTCCTTTTTGTTTTGTCTTAGAGGGGGAGAGTTCAATGGGAGAAGCTCACTCTGCCATGATGCTGACGTCACCAGCCTATTTCAGGTTTTTACATGTAATTGGTGAACCATAAATTGGTCTCTCTTTTAGTGGAAGTACTCAAGTATTTCTGCAATGTGTTTATATAGCTGCAGTCAGCACTCAGCTAAAATTCTGAAATCAAATAACACACAAGGTAGTGCTATTTGCTTGAAATAGTATTTTTTAATATCTGAATTTAAAAGTTTTTGATATGCCTTCCAAAAGGTTGTATAGTTTGGAAAAATCATCAAAGAAAACTGACGAGACAGTCAGAACCACTGAAAAAGAAAAAATATTTTGCAAAATTTTTTAAAAAAATGACCTTCCTTTTGCCAGTAGAAATGACTACAACTTTTGGAATTGAATGTTCTCAATGTCACTAAGTAAACACAATGAATAAAGATCTTGAGATTATTAGTTTGAAGGCAAATTACATGTCAGCATGTTTGGGCGGGGCATTGTTGCAATCATCACTATTAAGCCTAGAAAGAGCATTAAAGAACTCCTAATTCAAGGACCACAGTCCGAGCTAGGAACTACAGCTTATCTTTCCAGGATGGGCATCAAGTCCTGAGGTCCCTGTCCCCTTCCAAGCTCAGAGCACCACAACATGAGAGGAAATCAACTGAGGAAACCCCGAGCTCAGCCCCACTTGCTGTAGGTGCTCTGCTCCACTGGTTTGAGATGGGACCAGAGAATCTCAAGCAGCATGTTAACCTAGAGAAGGAGGTGAAGGGCCTCCACAACTGGCCATCAGTTCTTCTAGGTAACACCAGGTTAAGTAACTCACAGGAAATTGTTTGGGCCTATCTCACTGTTAAACACATTCATTTACTTATCCATTAAAAAAGACACAAAACATACACTTTGATAAAAACACTTGAACACACTACATGAGTAACTGAATCAAAATACAATTCCACTACTGTAACTGAGTTGGCTAAACTAGAAATGAATAAGATCTTACTCACATTGGACAGATGATAAACTTCAGAATCTCCAGACCCTTAAAACAGCACTCTAGACAATTACTATATGCAATGCTCTTTATTACTTCCTTCTTTCTTTTTGTTTATAAATTGGAATTTAATATCAAAGTTGTTTTAAAATAAATTTTTCTCATTTGGTCAGGTTTACCATCTTAAGGGAGATATTTACAAATTTCCAGATAAATACACTAGAGTTCTAGAATTATAAGAGGCTTTAAAGATTATTTTACTTTGTTTTATAGATAATAAAACTGAGGCACTGAGAGATTATACGGCTTAAGTGGCCAAGCTGGAGTGACAGTGCAGATGTCCAGCCTCACTTCTGGGCCCATGCTTCCGACATTTCCCCATTCTTGATGCTGAACTAGAATTCTCAGCAGATCTTTCAGGTACATAAATATTTGTCAAGATACTCAAGATTAAAGCATTGAACCAGGTGTTAATGACACAGGTGTGAGTCTTTAAAAAGCTAAGTGGTAAAACTCAGATTATAGCCATGAACAAGGGGGAAAAGTAATCTGTTACTGATACAGAGGAAAAAGTAACATACAAGCAGAATTTTGGTCTTGATGTATGCAAATACCTTCCAGGTTTTTTTCCTCTCTATTCCACCTTGGCACCTTAATATCAAGTCTAAAAGCAGCAAAATAAAAAGGCAAGAAAGAGTGAACAGTTTACCTCAAGTCTTTTTTAAAAAGTCTTTTTAAAAAGGCTTTTGTCTAAAACAAGGTTACTTACCTCTACATCTGTTTGAAAGTTAAAAAGGTCTATTCTTTGCCAGTTGCTTCCATCCAGGGCTAAGATGTTCCAAGCCTGGAGGGTAGGAGGTAAAGGAAGAGGGATTGGGGTGAAAGAGATACATTTACTGAGACTATTAAAGTCTCGATTCAACCTTTGTATTTCCAAACTTTTATTTTTGATAGACATTAGTTGATAATCAAATATGGAATTATGATAACATTGTGTTATGTTAAATACACAAAATGACATTTTAATTTTTAACTGTTTACTTGAACTAAAACTCATCCTCATTCTAATAAAACTTGGTATTTATTGATTAAAAATCTGGTTAATACTTTACCTTGGAAATCTGTGCACATCGGCACAAAGTTACTATATCCAAGAAGGAAAATATTCTAGGGAGAAAGGGAAAAAACACAAAAATGAGATGGTGTTAACATTTTAGTATATTTATAACTTGAAAGATAAACTCTAATGTGCCATCTGGATATATCATAAGTTTTTCAAAATTCCACAATTTCCAATACACAAATGTACTATAATTCTACATCACTACTATGAAATATTTAATGTTTGCACTCACTAAACTATCTCTCTTGTTCTAAGACATGGACATGGGACAGTAGATCACTGAGCCCGGTGAGAGCTAAATCCTTCTAATTCCCCTGCCCCCAACACACAGTGCAAATCCCTCTTTTGGTGGCAGATGCACCAAACAGGTTCAGATGCCTGAGCCTCAAATAACATGGCATATGCTTGATGATAAAACCCATTTGGTTTTAAGATGTATTTGTTCACAGGGCAGAGAGATAGAGCTCATTAGTTGGCAAGGTCTATAAGTGACCAGTTTTTCCTGAGCAAAAGCCAAGAAGCCACAGAAGATGGGAAAGATGGTGAAAAAGAAAAGCAGAGAGAAGCAAACAAAAACTTAGTTGACATCAGTAATGCCCCTAGAGGAAGCAGTAGCTATCAGCACGGCAGGAGTCTGAGTGAGGTCCCAACATTCTGGCAGCAGAGGAGATGAGTTGTTGATGATGTACAGTGGCAAATAGCTGTGCGTGCCTCAGCACTGCGCAGTGACAGCTGAAAACAAAGAACAGCTTTCCTGTGAGAAGAAGGGTGGATGGGGATGAGGTCAGTGACAATAATAGGATCTTAATTCTCACAGTCCTGGAAGGTAAATATGAGAGTGTGTGCCTCTGTGTGTGGAAGGGGGAGGAGGGTGAGATGAGAAACAGCTACCTAGAAAGTTCTTACAAAATTCTTCAGAGGTAACAATGAGTAGTGAGTTGAAAAATCCATGGGCTCAGGGAAGAACAGTAATAAGACATCAGAGTGTCATACCCTACAATAATGCACCCACAAGCAGCACCACAGGGCTAGTGACAGCATAGATACCATTATACCATATAGGCTCCAATCATTTTCTAGTGAAAAGCAAAGGATAGAAGCATAACAGTTGCACTGATCTTAAAAGACTTAATGGAACTTTGTACATAGGAAAATGCTGGTGGCTGAAAATGTGTACTTAAATAAATAAATATATATATATATAAAATACAACATTAAATATATAACATATAAAATATTTCAAGGTGTCAGCATACCTACATTGCCTCTATGGGAATACATCTTGCCCCACCCACATGCCCTCCTGCCTCAAATGTCCATGTTCTGTGCCATATGACCATTCCACAATGAGCCACAACTGATCGTCAGCTCCTTAAAAGACCAAGGACCAGATAGAGAAATGAGTATGGTACAGCAGAGTTATATTTCATGCTGGGGTTGGGTTCTAAAGTACAAGCTGAAGGTGAAAAAGAAGTTAGCTAAATTTCCCTTGAAAATCTCTTAAGAATGTACCACTGTGGACAATCACATACTCTATCACCTCTCAGTAATAATGATACTGATAATAATAAAAATAGTTAACATTGATTATGCATTGACTATGTGCTAGCCACAGTTTATGTTAGTCATTTACTCATCACAACAATGCTATGAGGTGCTATTATCTCCGTTTTATAGATGAGGACACTGAGCACAGAGAGGCTGAGTAATCTGCCCAGGCCACACAGACAGCAGGATTCGAACCCAGGAAGTCTGGTTTGGGAGCTCAAGCCCATGATCACTACACATACTGCCTTAGAAAGTTTGACACAGCTGTTTTTCCCTCAAGATTGGACTAGATGCTATTTCTTCAACTAAACAGGAGATGAAGCAGTTTCTGTCTAGTGAGCCTGCAGTATGGAAAACAGGTATCTTTAAATGCTAGAATCACACTACCTGAAGCAAGAGGCCCACACATTCAGACACACATGAGAACCAACAGGCGGAACAGAAGTTCACATTTCTCATCTCATGCTTCCTACTCAATTTTATGTTTACTGAATGAAAAAGTAGATTGCCTTTAGCATTTACATTATTTCCTCTCTCCCCTCACCCCATGAATACATGTAGTCGAATCTGCACAAGTTAAAAGGGCATGATAGGACTCCAAACTGCCAAACTGCAGCCTAAGCCAAATTCCTGAATCATGTTTCAATGAATAAAATAAATGCCCTGAATGACAGAGCCTGGGATGCTGGCTATAAAAACAGATAGCTAGAGGAGTTAAAGTAGTGGGAAACTGAGTTCTGGCCCTTCTATAACATTTTCTTCTGGAAATTGCTTCCCACTTCAAATGTGTAACTTCACCCTTCATTAGGAAAGCACTGCAATGGCAACTTGGTTCAAAATAAATGTAGAGGGCCGGCCCCGTGGCTTAGCGGTTAAGTGCGCGCGCTCCGCTACTGGTGGCCCGGGTTCGGATCCCGGGCGCGCACCGACGCACCGCTTCTCCGGCCACGCTGAGGCCGTGTCCCACATACAGCAACTAGAAGGACGTGCAACTATGATGTACAACTATCTACTGGGGCTTTGGAGGAAAAAAAAAAAAGGAGGAGGATTGGCAATAGATGTTAGCTCAGAGCCGGTCTTCGTCAGCAAAAAGAGAAGGATTAGCATGGATGTTAGCTCAGGGCTGATCTTCCTCAAAAAATAAATAAATAAATAAATAAAAAATAAATGTATATAGGGGTATACAGGAGCGGATGTACTTCTGGACTTCGTATTCTGTTCCACTGGTCTGACGGTCTACCTCATGCCAATAAGACCCTGTTAACTTATGAAGCTTTATAATAAGTCTTGATGTCTGCTACTCTAAGTCCTTAAATTCATTCTTCTGTGCCAAGATTATCCTGGTTATTCTTGGTTCTTTGAATTTCTACTTATGTTTTAGAATCAGCATATCAATTTCCATAAGAAAACTTTCTGAAATTTTTACTGGGATTGAATTTATGGAAACTTTTGGGAGAATTGAGATCATTACAATATTAAGTCTTCTAATCCATAAACATCATGTATTCCATTACTTATTCAGAATTTCTTTAATTTCTCATTGTAATTTTTGTAGTTTTCCACAAAGACAGTCTGTTCATCTTGAGACTTTTTTCCCCTGGTTATTTGCTATTGTTACTATTAAAATGGCATTTTTAAAATGTCATTTTCTAATTGTTGCTAGTATACAGATATATTTAATTTTCATATATTTACCTTGTATCCAGCCACATTTCCAAATTCATTCATATATTCTAATGACTTTCTACATACAAAATCAATTCATTTGTAAATAATGACAATTTTCTTTCTTCCTTTCCAATAATTATACTTTTTGTTTCTTTTTCTTGCCTTACTAAAGTGGCTATGATCTTCTCTAGTATCAATAATGGTAATGAGAGATACCTTTTTCTTATTCCCATCTCAGAGAAAAAGTTGTCACTCTTTAGTCACTGATTATGACATTTACTACAAGGTTTTCTCTGCCTTTTCAATTTTTTAAAATTACTATTACACCCTGTAAAATATCTGTTTTGCACATGCATGATTTTAACAACATCTCTTTAACATTTGCTTATCTCCCCTTTTAACAATTTATTAAAAATAAGAGCAGATAATACATAGAGTACCCATATATTAACCCCCACCTTGACATACACACAGTTTCTCCCATTATTAACATCTTGCATTAGTGTGGTACATTTATCACAATTAATGAACACTGATGTATTATTATTAACTAAAGTCCACAGTTTAAATTAAGATTCACTCTTTATATTATACAGTTAGTTCTACCGGATTTGTCAAATGCATAAAGACATGGATCCACCATTACAGTACCATGTAGAATAGTTTACAGCCCTAAAAATCACCTGCGCTTCACCTGTTCCTCCCTTCCCCTCCTCCTCATGAACCCCTGGGAACTACTGATCTTTTTAATGCTTCCACAGTTTTGCCTTTTCCAGAATTTCATATAATTGGAATCATACAGTATGTAGCTGATCAGACTAGTTCCTTCACTTAGAAATACACATTTAAGGTTCCTCTATGTCTTTCAGTGGCATGATAGCTCATTACTTTTTATTGCCAAACAATATTCCATTGTATGGATGTACCACAGTTTGTTTATCCATCCGTTTAATGACATCTTGGTTGCTTCCAGTTTTGGGTGATTATGTATAATTCTGCTATAAACATTTGTGTGCAGGTTTTTGTGTGGATATGATTTCTACTCAGTTGGATAAATATCTAGGAGTGTGATTGCTAGATTGTATAAGTTTATGTTTAGCTTTGTAACTAACTTCCAAACTGTCTTCCAAAGTGGCTGTACTATTTTGAATCCCCACCAGCAATGAAGGAGAGTTCCTGTTGCTCTGTATCTTGCCAACATTTGGTATTGTTAGATTTTTTAATTTTAGCCATTCTTATAGGTGTACAGCGGTATCTCGTTATTTTAGTTTTCCATTCCCTAATAACATATGATATTAAGCATCGTTTCACATGCTCATTTGCCATCTGTATATCTTCTTTGGTGAAATGTCTGTTCAGATCTTTTGCTCATTTTTAAAATGGTTTATCTTCTCGTTGAGTTTTAAGAGGTCTTTGTATATTTTGAACATCAGTCCTTTATCATATGTGTCTTTGGCAAATATTTTCTCCCAGTCTGTGGCTTGCCTTTTTATTTTCTTAACAGCGTCTTTCTCAGAGAAGTTTTTAATTTTAATAAAGTTCAACTTGTCATTTTGTCTTTCATGAATCACGCTTTTGGTGTTTTATCTAAAAACTCATTGCCAAACCCAAGGCTACCTACATTTTCTCCTATGTTTTCTTCTAGAAGATTTACAGTTGTGAGTTTTACATTTAGGTCTATGATCCATTTTGAGTTGACTTTTGTGAAAAGTGTAAGGTCTGTGTCTACATTCTGTTTTTGTATATATGTCCAATTTTCTCTGCATATATGTCCAATTGTTCCAACACCATTTGTTGAAAAAGACATACTTTCTCCATTGAATTGTTT